TGTAGTCCAAGCTAGCTTGAATAAAATCTTTTATCTCCATCTGAATTGAGTCTGGTGGTCTTTCCTCACTAGTCCCGGGGTCCATAACAATCTGCCTACCTCTGCCTCCCGAGTGCTAAGATTAAAGGCATGCCCACCATAGCTGGTATAGGCAATGGTTTAACCAAACTTCAGATACTCCCCACTTCCTCAAACTTTTATTAGAATATGTTTTTTTATTTTTGCTCGTGGGAAAAAATGAAGTGAAATTCGGTTTGAGATGGAGATGAGGGGGCACTTTGTGCTCTGTGGGGCTCTGCTCCTGGCTGAAGAGCGGTCACTCGCTTCCTTACCTGGGACCCAGAGAGGGGGCTTTGAGGCTCCCAGGGGACCCCCACCATCACCACTCTGGGGTTCCTATTGCTTCCCCCACCCCCTGCAGCCATAGGAAAGGGTCTCAGGGTAACCACACAGATGAGAGACAGGGAGCTGGTAAGATGACTCAGCAGATGCTGCTGCTTGCTTTCCAATCCCTGAACCTACATTGCAGAACCCACAAGCTGTCTTCTGACCTCCACAATGTGCCATAGCATGCGTGCACACACACAAATATATAAATATTTTTATATTTATAAAAATAGGAGCTGGAGGGCTGGAGAGATGGCTCAGCAGTTAAGAGCACTGACTGCTCTTGCAGAGGACCCGGGTTCAATTCCCAGCACCCACATGGCAGCTAAGAACTGTCCTTAACCCCAGCTCCAGGGGAATCCGAAGCCCTCTCCTGACCTCCACGGCATTGCACGACACGGGTGCACTCACATACATGCAGGTGATACACTCATACACAGAAAATAAAATAACAAAATATTTTTTAAAAAAATAGGAGCTGTGGGCTGGAGGGATAGCGCAGCCGTTAAAGGCTAAGGCTAACAACCAAAACGTAAAAAATAGGAGCTGGTGAGATGGTTCATTGGTTAAGAATAGTTCCAGGGGATCTGATCCTTCTTCTGACCTCCACAGCATCACATGACATGGGTGCACTTACACACATGCAGGCTATTCACCCATACACATAAAATAAAAATAATAAATAAAATTGGGGTTGGGGATTTAGCTCAGTGGTAGAGCACTTCCCTAGCAAGCATAAGGCCCTGGGTTCAGTCCTTGGCTCCGAAAAAGAAAGAAAGAAAAAAAAAAAGACAAAATAACAAAATAAAAATAATAAAATATAAAAGAATAAAAATAAAAAAGAGACTTAGAAAGAACAGGGTGTTACTCAGCTGTGCATGCTGTACCCTAAGCTTTGCCATGGGTTCCACCCTCATCACCACAAAGAAACAAAACTGAGTTCTAGGGCTATAGTTTGATTGGCAGAGTGCTTGTAGCTCCGTTGCTAGAGAGCGTGCAGGAATTCCTGGGTTCCATCCCAAACACTGAAGAAAAACAGGTGTGGTGGTACATGTGTGTCAGTCCAGCTCTTTCGAGAACATGGAGGCAGGAAGATTGGGAGTTCAGGTCATCCTCAGCTGTACAGCAAGTCTGAATTCCCTGGCCTACACGAGGCCAGATTTCAAAACAAACAGAGGGCAGGGCAAGGTGGCACATCCCTTTAGCCCCAGCTCTTGAGAAGGACAGGCAGGCAGATCTCTGTGAGAACAAGGCCAGCCTGGTTTTTGCATAGCAAGTTCTAGACCACAGAAAGACCCTGAAAACAACAACAACAACAACAACAACAACAACAACAAAACAACCAATAGGGGCTGGAGAGATGGCTCAGTGATTAAGAGCACTGGTTGCTCTTGCAGAGGACCCGGGTTTGATACCCAGCACCCACATGGCAGCTAACAACTGTAGGAAACTCCAGTTCCAGGGGCCCCAATGTTCTCTTCTGTCATTCCTTGGGCACTGAACAACACAGGTGCGCTTACATATATACATGCAGGCATAACACTCAGAGACATAAAATAAAAATAAATTTAAAAATTAAGAAACAAAAAACAAGGGGCCAGGCGTGGTGGCGCACACCTGTAGTCCCAGCACTTGGGAGGCTGAGGCAGGCGGATCTCTGTGAGTTCAAGGCCAGCCTGCCAGCCTGGTCTACATAGTGAGTGCCAGGGCAGCTGGGGCTACAGGGAGTTTTAAAAAAAAAAAAAAAAAAAAAAAAAAAAAAAAGAGAGAAACAAAAAAGAACAACAAAAAACCCTCAATAACCAACAGAGGCAGGGGGTTGACACTGGCCTGCGGGACGGGAGGCAGGTCCTATGTAAGATTCTACGCACTGCTGCAGAGCCTCAAGGCACCTTTGTTCCAAGTCACCCTGAATCCCTGTAACCTGGGGTTCAAAGTCTGCAACTGTCTCTGATGCCAGACCCCTGTGCGCCTCACCCTTCACTGCCACCCCACCCATGGCTTCCCAAGACTGTTTATTATTATTATTTATTTATTTACTTACTTATTGAGACAGGGTCTCCCTGTAGTCCCAGCTGGCCTGGAACTCACTAATGTAGACCAGGCTGTCCTCGAACTCACAGAGATCTGCCTCTCAGCCTCCTCCCAAGTGCTGCCCTTAATGGCGTGTGCCACACTTGGCTTTTCCTTTTTTTTGATAGGGTCTCAGATTGCCCAACCTGGTCTCAAACTCCCTATGTAGCCAAGGTCGACCTTGAACTTGCCCCAGTGCTTGGAGGGCGTTTGCCGCCACCGCCCATCTTAAAAGGAGTTTTTCTGTTCGCTTAGGGCAGGTTTTAGGGTCTCTGACTCACCCTTAACCATTTCTGGAACTCTGGGCCCTTAGCGGCTGCATTTCGGGGTTGTAGCGCCACCTCGTGGCGATAAGTGGAACAGCAGTCAGGTGTCTCGCATTAACTTCGTTTTATGTCGCGTTTTCTTTTCTCGTCTCTTTTTTAGGTATTGGGGCTTGAGCTTTACCCGTACGGAAAGCGTTTTCTACAACTGAACTCCGGCTCCATTCTCCCCAGACTATACCTAAAAGATTTATTTTATTTGTATTTATCTGTGTGTGACACGTGTACGGTGCCTGAGGAGGCCAGAAGAGGGTGTGGGATCCCCTGGAACTGGAGTCATAGTCAGTTGTTAGCTGCTATGTGGGTGCTGGGAAGTGAACCTGGGTCCTCTGCAAAAGCAGTACACACTTTTTTTTTTTTTTTGAGACAGGGTCTCCCTGTGGCCCCAGCTGTCCTGGAACTCACTATGTAGACCAGGCTGGCCTAGAGCTCACAGACAGCCACCTGCCTCTGCCTCCTGGGTGCTGGGATTAAAGGCATGTGCCTCCACGCCTGGCCCACTAAGGCGGCAATTTTAAGACAATTTTAAAATTTTAATTCTGAAAGGCAGAATATGTGTATGATTTTAGAAGTGTAAGCTATAACAATGTACAGAGAACTGTTAGCGCATACTCCTATCAGCCACCAGCCCCCAACTCCCACCCAAGGCTGTGGCTGACCAAGTCTCCTTCACAGGGATGAAAATCCTTCCTGTCCCAGACAAGTGGTTACTCTCCTGCTTTTTACACATTAATGTGTTTGGGAGATCTGCTTCAGCCTTTAAACGGTTTAAACAGTTTTGAGACCCTGTCTCAAAAATGTAAAAACAAACAGAAAATAAGAGCAAAACAAAAAGCAAACTTATTTTAGAGATTTTATATTTACAGATTCGTCTTTGACTAGCACTCACCCAGTCTCTCCCACTGCTTACCACAGCATCTTTCTAAACTAAGCAACAGTCCTTAGTTTTATACTGAGGCGTAGATTTTTTTTTCCCATTTTCCTGCTAAATAGATCTTTCTTTCTGTTCCAGTTTTTTTTTTTTTAATCAAGACTGGGTCTCATGTAGCCCAAGCTGGCCTCCAACTCCCTCTGTAGTTAAGGATAACCTTGAACCTCTGATTCTCCCGCCCCTCCCACTTCTGAAGCTCTGGAAGGATGGGCAGCGCCACCCACCCTCCACTTGCCCTTTCCCTGGGGCTCAGGCCTGCAGCTGAATGGATGGCAGGCTGTCATTTTGGACACGTGTAGATCTGGTTGTGGAAGACACACCCGGAGTCTAGAAAAGTTCCCTCCCGAATGGCTGTACCACAGAGGCAGTATTCTCTAATTTTTTTTTTTTTTTTAGTCTTTTTGAGACAGGGTCTCCCTGTAGCCCCAGCTGGCCTGGAACTCACTATGTAGACCAGGCTGGCCTTGAACTCACAGAGATCTGCCTGCCTCTGTCTCCTGAGTGCTGGGATTAAAGGCGTGCGCCACCACGCCCGGCTCTAATTTTATTTTTATTATTTATGTGTATGTATGCATGTCTGCATGAATTTACGTGTACCATGTGTGCAGGTGCCCTCCAAGACCAGAAGACATGGGATCCCCTGGAAGTGGATTTACAGGTGGTTGTGAGCTACCTGACATGGGTGCTGGAAATGAACTCAGGTCCTCTGGGAGAACATCAAATGTTCTTAACCAAGGAGCTGTCTCTCCAGCCCTTAAAGGCTGTATTTATTTTTACTTATTTATTTTTATGTATATAAGTGTTTTGCCTGCATGTATGTGTACTACATGCATGCAATGCCCACAGAGGCCAGACGAGGCCATTGAATCCCTTGGAACTGGAGTTACAAACCATTGTTAGCTGCCATGTGGGTGCTAGGAACCAAACCTGTGCTGGGATTAAAGGCGTACGCCACCACGCCCGGCTACTAGTAAATGGTTTCAAAAGAAAAAATAGAAGCCAAGCATGATGGCTCCCACCGTAAAGCCAGCACTCAGGCAGCAGAGGCAGGAGGATGGGGGAGCAGGGAGCACTCAGTGCAGCCTGAGCAACAAAGGAAGACCATATCTCAGAGAAAGTGTGTTAAACATACATGAACACACAAATACCCAGGCACGGTGGTGCAGCACTTGGGAGGCAGAGGCAGGCAGATCTCTGTGAGTTCAAGGCCAGCCTGGTCTACATAGTGAGTTCCAGTCCAGCTGGGGCTACAGGGAGACCCTGTCTCAAAAAGACCAAAAAAATGATAAAAAATAAAAATAATTTATAGACTCTGGTTTGTTCGATCCGTTTCCGGTGTGCTTGGTTCTCTGTAGACTCTACATCTGGGGTTCTGTAGCATTTTACTGGATGAACCTTCTGTGGCCTTGCTCTCTCGTCGGGGTGAAAGCCACCACACGGTGCAGGGGATGTCTCAGCTCAGCCTTATTTCATTGCATGACCAATCGTGCCTCAGTTTCCCCAGCACTAACACAGTCTGTGCCTGGCGAAAGCCGGATCTTCTTGCTCTGTGCCCGACATCCAGGTCATCTCGTGGTGGAAAGCTGCTCGAGGTTACTGTGGGCTGCACCTCTCATCCACGCTCTGTCCACCCTACTGGGGGTCACGAGGTGGCCTCTGGCAGCCCTTAGTGGCTCCAGCCCTCTGGCGGGAGCGGATGCTGGGCTTGGACCTGGACCCTGAACGGCGTCGGGGGTGTGACCCACGCCGCAGGGGGCCCAGCTCGGCTTCCAGGCTGTAACTGCAGGAAGGAGGGGGCCGTGAGCACCTGTCACCCCCAGCCAAACCTATGTCCTGGGACTGCCACCTCCAGGCTCCCCATCCTGCGAGGTTCCCCAGTTCCTGCCATCCTCCACCATTCGTCCTGCCCACGGAGTCCGGTCCCTTGCTTACAAGATCCTCCCCTAAACCCTGACCCGTTCTTGCATACTTTTTTTCCCTGGTAGCCTTGTGTTCCTCTTCCTGGTCCTCACTGAAGTCTCTCATCCGTTCCCTAGGTGTCACGCTAATCCTCAGACAGCCCATCCGGGTCACCAACTACATCCTTCCTCTGCCTACTTGGCCACGCCCTCCCCTCATAGCTTCAGAGACCCTGTCCGACTCCGGCCACGCCTCCAATGCAGATTAGCTAAAGATACACGCTCTGCACAGCCATTGGCCATCCGCCCCGTCTGTCTGCCTTGCGGGGCCCGCCCCTTACATGAGCTCTCGCAGCTTCACCTCCCGGGCAGTGCAGGTTTCGTGTTCTGCCTCTGCTGCTCTCGCTCGCTGCTGTGCCTCCTCCAGCTGCCGCGCAGACTCAGTGGCCACTTTCTCCCAGCGTGCCAGGGCTTCTACAGGAGGCAGAGGGTGGTGGTTAGTGTTCCCCACACACACACACCCCGCGCATGCTTGGAGTTGTTTAAATTAGTATGTGCGTGCCTTTCTATGATCATCACCATCACCATCACCATCATCATCATCTTTCTGGAGACAGGGTCTCACCTAATGCTCAGGCTGACCTGAATCCCCCTGCCTTAGCCTCCTGACTGCTGGGCTGTGATAGAATGTGTAAATTGCAGGAGAGTCATAAGCTTCCTCACATAAATTCCTCAAGGTAGCCAAATGGCCCAAATTAGTGGCTTGGCCTTTGATCAGGCTTTACCAGCTGATCACTTCCCTGGCTGACTGAGACTGGCTACAGGGGTGACTTTACTCCTGCTGCGCCATAACCTGCTGGGGCAGCCTGGCCTTACCAACTGGTTACTGCAGAGATTGTTTGCAGAGTCAATCTACTGTGCCAAAAGACACCGTGCCTGCTCATGCTGAGAAGATAGCCTCAGGAAGAGACCCTCAAGTACCCCAGGACACTGACGCCTGACACCAAGCAAATTCCTACAGCTGCGTTCAGCAGTTCCTGTCCAAATCCAGATAGCTCCGCTTATGCTTGCTGACGTCTGTTTCCGTGGACAGCACCGGCCCTTTGCTGTGTTCTCCGGTATTAAAGAGGACATATTCCTTGCCTGTTGCAGGTCTGGCTCTGGTTCTTATTTCTTAACTTTAGACTCCTTCCTTTTTCTGCTTGCCCTCCTGAACCTAACAGACCGCACCCACTGAGCCTGGCCTGTCTGCGTCCTCAGTCTGACCTCTCTCTTCAGAGCTGTTCTGTGGCCTCTGTCATTTCTGCGTGACTTCCTTTAGTACATTTCCCAGATCATTCTCACTGCCTTTACAGGCCCCGTGCACTAGTGTGAGTTATTTGAGTGTCTGTAGACCTCTGGAGCACATCCTACTCTGCTATGCACCTGTCAGTGCCCCATTCTCCAGCACCATATGTGTGCCTTGGGCTTTGGCCTGGTCCATCTCCATCTTCAGGGTCTTCAGTTGGGTCTGAAGCTGGCTCTGCAGACAGAAGGGAAAGAATGAGGGTGGAGGAAGAAATGATCTGCCCAAGCCCACTGAACCCCATCATAAAAATAGAAACAGCTGGCTCTGTGGCTGAGGATCCCACAAACCACCTAGGATTCCCTGGCAGCCCAGGCTGACTTGATGACAGTGTCCAGTTTTCTGGGCACTTGTTGGCCCCTCTGCACAGGACACTTGACTTCCTCCAGCATCTTATAGAGAGCTGGGCAGAATCGGGACACAAACCCAGGCACTGCTTCCAATGTCAGCTGCAGGCCTTTCTCATAGGGATACAGGGCTGGCAGGACTGTTCTGTATCTTCCCCACACCAGGATCAGAGCCCAGGACCTCTGAGTGCCCCACCCCCAATGCCCATTAATTTTGAGATGGAGTCTTGATTTGTAACCCATAATCCTTCCTTACCCTGCCAGCTATTTTGATTTTTAAAATTCAGATGCCAGTTGAACATGGTGTGATATGTCAGTCAAACCAGCACTTGGGAGATGGAGGTAGGAGGATCAGATGTTCCAGCCCAGCACAGCTACAAACTGAGTGCAAGGACAGCAGGGCCTTAGCCAGTGATAGAAAGTGTGAATTGCAGAAGAGCCACAAGCCTCATTAGGGAAAGCCATAAATCCCTTAAAGTAGCTAATTGGCCTTAAATTGGCAACCTGACCTTGCTTGAGCCTTATCAACTGATCATTCCCTGGACTGAGACTGTTTTTGGAGCCCACCTGTCTCCTTTAGTACTGTAGATAACTTGCCTGCCGAAAAAAAATTCTTGGGAGAAGAGACTCTCAAGGACACCAGACCCAGACACAGAGTTAACTCTCACAGCTGTATGCAGCAGAGTTCCTGTCCTAGTTTGTTTCCTCGTTGCTGTGACAAAACACTCTGACCACTACCAACTTGGGGAGGAAAGTGTTTATTTGTCTTAACATATCCCGGTCACAGTTCATCAGGGAGCCCAAGGTAGGAATTCAAGGCAGGAACCTGGAAGCAGGAACTGGAGCACAGGCCATGGAGGAATGTTGTTTACTGGCTTGCTCTCCTGGCCCCTGCTCAGCCTGCTTTCTTATGCACCATAGGCCCACCTGCCCAGGGGTGGCACCACCCACAGTGGGCTGGGCCCTCCCACATCACTCATCAAGAAGATGCCCCATGCACATGGCCACAGGCCAGTCCAATAGAGGAAATTCCCCAATTGAGGCTCCCTCAACCCAGGTGTGTGAAGTTGACACTAAAGCTATCCAGCACAGTTCCTATATAAGTCCAAACTGCTCCTCCTTTCCAGGTAGATACTCATTCCCCAAGGAAGAGCTTATCAGCCTTTGCTGAGTTCCCTGAATAAAAGGCACACATTCCTTGCCCGTCGTAAGTCTGGCTCTGACTCTTATTTCTAAACTTCAAACGCCTTCCTTTTTTCTGATCTCCTAAATCTAACAGCCAGACCATCTCAAAATTGAAAGTAAAAGGAGGTCTGGGTGTGGCTCAAAGGTGGAGACCCTGCCTAGAATCCCCTAGTGGAGGCCTGGGGGCATGGCTCCACCATCATCTGTGGCTCTCCTGGCTCCATTCATAGAACAGCATTCATTCATACAAGGAAAGATGTACAACCTCTGCTGGATGAGGTTCATTGAGGTACACAGCTGTCATCTAATAAATGTAAATGTTAAGGTTTGGGTTGTTTTGATTTTTTTCCCAGCCAGGTAAAACAGAGGATGATCCTCTTGATCCTCCTGCCTTCACACTTCTGTAGTGTGGGGTAACAGGTGATGATATCACACCCTGGGCTTTGAGGATTTCTTTTTGTGAAGTTCTGTGCTCCAGAGAGTTAAGAAAGACTGGGGGGTGGGGGGCAGGAAAAGGGAGGTCTGGATGGTACCACCCCCAGGAGGCCAACTTTAGTCTAGGCTAACTTTAGTCTCCTAATTACAGGTGATGTTAAGTGTCCCTCTCTCAAAATAAACTGCTGGAAACTGGAAGGGGGCTGCGTGAGGGAACCCAGAGAGTCAGCACAGGGTCTCTGCACCTGGACTCCAGGGCCCTGGGTCTTCCCTTGTATAGAATAGCAGGGTCCTTGTGGATCAGAAGTCAGACTCCAAGGGGAGCCGGCATTACAGAAGATGGGAGGAACTGGGGTGCAGAGTTGGGGGACGCTGAGGCCCTAGCGATGGGCAGGCATCCTCCCTCGACCGAGTACCCTGAGTTATCAGGTGCACCAGCCCCTACCTGGTGGCCCTCGCAGGCCTTGAGCGCCGCCTCCAGCTCCCGCCTTCCTCCCTCTGCGCTCTCCAGCCTCCCAGCCAGGGTCTCTGCGCGCTGGACAGCCTCGGCCAGCCGCCGCCGCAGTTCTTCGACATCCGGCACCCGGCCAGGGGGCCGCACCGTTGCGTTGACCACGGGGTCGGGGCAGTGGGGTCCCCGCGCGGTGGAGGCCGCCAGGTTCCAGGCCACCAGCGCCCCGCCGGCTGCAGCAGCGGCCAGGAACACTGCGGCCCCGCACAGGGCCAGCAGCCGCCACGCGCGCCCGGGCTCGGGGCCCAGCTCGGCCATGCCTCAGTTCTGACCCAGACGGGACACCCGCCTAATTGTCACCCTGGGGCTGTGGGGACACGCTCCGCCCCGCCCGGGGTGGGTGTCCGGTTGTGGGCTGCACCCCTCCCTCTAGGGAGCAGACAGTTCTTCAGACCCCAAGAAATGACCGGGGGGGTCCTTCCCCGGATGGCTCCAGAGCCTCAGTTTCCCCTGTTAGAAACAAACGGGGATTCAGTGGCTCCTGGCTTGACGGGAGTCAGCGGCCTTATGACCTGAGTGGGATCTAGGACTCTTCAAAATTTTTTTGTTATATTTCATTTACTTTGTATGTGCAGAGGGGAGAGAGTGTGCCACAGAGCGACCGGTGGGTCAGAGGACAACTTGCAGGAGTCAGTTCATACCTGTGGGTACCCGGGATTCACAACTAAAGTGGTCAGGCTTTGAGACAAGTACCTTTTCCTGCTGAGCCATCTCTCTTGACCCTAGAGTTGTTTAAAACCTGCTGACTTCCCATCTCAACTCCCCACTTCCTCTTCCTCCTCTGTCCTCTTCCCCCCTCCTTCCCTTCTTACTGTCCTCCTGTTCCTCCTCCTCCTTTCCATCTTTCCCCAAATGCATCTCGACCCCAGGACGTTTGCATAGTCTTTTCCATCCACACTGCTTGAGCGCAGTCTTCTAGCTTTCTGGACCCTAGAGTGTCACCCCTCACCGCCACCTCTCCCCATCACTAGCCATCGAAACCACGGTCACACTTTGATTTTACTGTGTCTCCTCTCTTGGCTTCCTTCCATCACACTGAGTGAGCCCCTAAAAAGCAAAGTCATGTGTTTTGTTTGGTTCCCCACCCTGTGATCACCTGGGCCCAGCACATAGCAGGTGTCCAATAATTGTGGGCTGAGAGTGACTGATTGTGTGCCCCTCATAAAAAAACCAGAAGCTAGCCAGGTGTGGTGGTGCATACCTGTAGTCCCAGCACTCGGGAGGCAGAGACAGGTGATTTCTGTGAGTTCAAGGCCAGCCTGGTCTACTTAGTGAATTCCAGGCCAGCTGGGGCTACAGGGAGACCTGTCTCAAAAAGACCAAAATAAATAAATAAATAAATAAATAAATAAATTAATTAATTAAATATAACAAAAAAAGAAAGATGAGAGAGAAAGAGAAAGGAAAGAAGGGACAGAGAAAGGAAGGGAGGGAAGGAAAAAGAGACCAGAGAGGCATGCCACAGGGTCATACAGTACTGTGGACCACCAACCCTCCACCACTAGGTTGGGCACAACTTTGGAGTTAAGTCTCAGGGAAAAAGGACAAAACACAGAGGGAAAGCACGGTAGGTGGAAAGTGTGTCCCAGTCTCCAAGTGTGGATAGAGTTCAGAGTCACATACACCACAGGGCAGATGGGTCCTCCCCCATCACCAAGCAGGGTGGATTGGGGTGAAGCCATGAGTGGGGATTTTCCAGTGGCCCAGGCTGTGGTGGAAAATGACAGCTGTTAAAAGGGAACAGAGGCCACGAGACCACAAGGTCACGTGTGGAGGGGTTGGGTTGTTCACTGTACAAGAGCCAGGGGAGAGGTCTTTGCCAGCAAGTCCAGTCAGTGGCTCCCCAGACCAGGTTTTCTGCCAAAGGGGCTATGGAAAAGGACCAGTCACTGCACAGCTCCCTCTCCCAGCTCTCCTGAGCTACCAGAGACCCCACACAAAGGGAATCGAGTGACCCAAGAGTGGGGGAGGTGAGGTAGGTAGGGGAGTTCTCCTGAGAAGCCAATCCAGCCCCAGGGAACACTGCAGGGTCAGAAGGAAGTCTTCATAAAACCTGGGCAGGGCAGTATGCTGCTCACATCTGTGCTCTGCATCAAGAGACACTTCTAAATGTCTACAATACGAGGAGGTGTTCCCATCAAAGAAGGACCCAGTCCTAAATGCCATCAGTGAGGGGCAAAGGGTGGGAGCGTGACTCAGCATAGAGCCCCTGCCTAAAATTTCCCAGTTAAGGAGGAGCTAGGGGCATGGCTCAGAGGCAGAAGCCCCTGCCTGGAATCCCCCAGTGAGGGACTGGGGGTGTGGTTCAGGGATAGAGCCCCTGCCTGGAATCCCTCAGTGAAGGGCTAAGGGTGTAGCTCAGAGGTAGAGTTCCTGCCTAGCATATTCGAAGCCCTGGGTTCTAACCCTAGCACCACACACACAAAAACCTAGCAGCTCTGAGCCTCACTTAGATCTAGGGAGTGAGGGCAAGTGCTTCAGGCAGCTGGTGGTGGATGCCCATAGGGCCTGGTACTGTAGGAAAGAACTTCTTAAAAGGACTGTGCATGGAGATAAACTCAAGGACAATTGTGTGGTGCAAACAAAGCCCAAAGAGGTTTGGGGGTGCCTGTGAGGGGGCATTTAGGGGCCACCAGGAAAGCACCGTCTGAACTTGGGTACCGTGGGATGGAAGACATAGTAAAAATAAAGGACACTGGACTCCAGGCCATGACACCAGGAAACAGGCAGGAAATTACTTGGACAATACCTGCGGTTCCAAGAGGATGTGGAGGAAGACGATAAGACAGGAGGAAGGGACTGGGGGGCTGAGAGTAGCCCAGACTTTGGGTGAAGGGTATGTAAGGAACGCACAGCTCCATTGTGGGGTACAGAGATTACCAGACCCAGAGATTCTCAGAGGGGGCACTGCAGGATCATTAGGCGTCTGGGAGATGAAAAGGGGGACCACTCTCATGAAGGCTTGACCTCAGTGTGACTGCAGGCCCTGGTTTAAATTCCAACCCAGAACTTTCTGCAGGAGACAGAAGAAAAACAGTCATTGCTGTTCAAGCCTCACTTTCCCTCTAAGTACCACAGTCCTGAGTGAGGAGACTGGAATCAGGCTTGACCTTCTGTGAGCTCTGAACGAGGCTACAGAGACCCACTTGATTCCAGCAGAATGGGGGTGGTGTGGTCAGAAACAGGGACCTTAGCCTGCAGGGACAGCACATGTGACGGGGATGCAGGAGACACAGTGACTCTAGGAACGTAAGAGCAAGCTCTTTTTTGTAAAAGTTTATTTTCTGGAGCTCAAAGACCCCAGAAGTAAGTGACTCCCCCCCAAAAATAACCGTGACAGCAAAAACGAGGTGCCCCTCCTCACCCTCCCCATAAGGTGCTGCCGCTCTGGGGGTCGCAGCCCACGGTCCTCTCAGTGGCTTCTTCATCCTCAGAGCTGCCATGGTCCCTCCAGAGCCACTAGGTCATGTCCCGCCAGCCACCGTGAACAAGTGCAACCACTTCAGTGCAGGCTAAAGACATAAAAAGAGAGACTGAGCCCCGCCTACCGCAAGACTTGCCCACCCAGGACCTCATCCCTGAGGTCCCTCCCTCTCCTTGTCCAGTGTAACCATCTCTTGTGGTCCCCCAAGTTATCCTGTATTATGTTCCTCACCTATCAGCATCCAGGTCCTCAGAACAGGAGGACCAGGACCAGTGGTACCAGGAGCATTGGGAGACTGGAGGCCGCCAAGGAGCTGACAGAGTTCTGCAGCAATACGCTCCTCAAAGTTTCCTTCTCTTTCCTGAGGGGAGAGGGGCCAACTCAGACAGAGGCCTGCAGACTCCTGCTGATGTGCTTGCTTCTAAATATTTTACACTGCTGGGAAGACATCCAGGGTCTTCAGCAAGCAAGGCAGGGACTCTACTTGAGCCCCGCCCCCAGCTCCTCACTGGGGTTTCTTGGTAGGGACCCTATCCCTGAACCATACCCTCAGCCCCTCACTGGGGGATTCTAGGTAGGGGCTCTACCCCTGAGCCATGGCCCCAGCTGGCCTGGAGCCCACTATGGAGACCAGGCTGGCCTAGAACTCACAGAGATCCTACTACCTCTGCCTCTGTTGGGATTAAAGGTGTGCACCACCACACCAGCCTCCTTTTACTTTTTGTTTGGAGGTAAGGTTTTACCAAGTTGCCCGGGTTGACCCTATATTCATGCTCCACCTGCCGCAACCTCCCAAGTTCTGGGATCTCAAGGCACAGCCACCATGCCTGGCCTGATCAAGATTTACGGGTTCCCAGCCACCCCCAAAAAGTCCCTGCAGAGGGCAGCTGGTGTTGATGTCCTGCGGCTGTGTGGTTCTAAGTGACATGTTCTCTCTCTCAGACCTTCTCTGTGTGTGTCAGTAAATTCACCTGTGGGCATGTGTATGGAGTTCAGAAGTCAATGTTGGGCGTCTTGCTCAATCACGTACCACATTATTTTTTAAGAAGGGTCTCTCACTGAACCTGAAGCTCATTGTTTGGACTGGCCAGATTGACCAGTGAGCCCCAGAATATTTCTGTCTCTGTCCCCCAGGGCTAGGCTACAGACATAGGCTGCCATGCCCAGCTATTATGTGGTTCTGGGTCCTCATGCTTATGTCACAAGCACTTTAACCACTAAGCCATCTCCCCAGGCAGCATGCTATGGGTTTTTGGAACCTGAGCCAAGTGGGTCCCAGGTCTTGGGGAAGGAAATTGAGGGAGTTCAGGGTATGGTCTGGGGTGGTAGGGGTCTCTGACCTTAATTTCTCCTGTTCCTCCAAGGTGTTCTTCAGTTTCTCATTCAATATCGTGATGTTTCCTGGGGTGACACAGAATGGGAGGAGTGGTCAGCCCCCCATCTCACCATGGGCTGTCGTCTCTCCTCCAGCCCCAACAGAAGCATGCTGAGGGACCAAAGCCTGACAAGCAGACAGGGCCACATAGAAGTAATAAAGAGGGCCCACTGTGGTCTTCTCGGTCAGAGACAAGGGCCCGGAGGAGGGGGGCTCCCTTACCCCGCTGGCAGGGTCCCCCTTCCTGCTGACTGTCCAGACCAGTTTACATAAGACCAAGGCTAGACCTGGACATATCTCAGCTTGGAGCTGGGGCCTATCAGCCCTCTCTTCAAGTTGACCAAACCAAAATTAGGGGATGGGAACACACCCCATTCCACCAAAACACTTAAAAGGCCCAGTCCCTCCTGGGGGCTGTGGATGTCATGGCTCAGTCTCCACTTATGAAGAGCATTTCTCTCTGTACCCATGAGTTTCTTTAATAAAGTTTGCGACTACCTATTCTGGCTGAGATTTTCCCTGCCTTTTAATTCTTTAATTGGTGGAGAAAATGAACCCAAGGAAAACCCTAGACATGATGCTACCTGCTTCTTAGTGGGTCCCCACCACCCAGGCCTTCCCTTGGGCCCTCCCTGCCCTTCTCCACTCACTCTCCAGCTCCTCTATCCGGGCATGCTGCTCCAGGGCCTGAGACATCTTTTCTTCTAGGGCAGCCTTCAGGGTCACCTAGGCCAGAAAAGCCACAGAAACAGTATTGGCTCTTGTCCTGATCTCTAGAAACCTTCCAACATGTCATCAGAGGACATTCTACCCAAGCAAACCCCTTTCATGTTCCCCTCCAGCCCCCTCTGCATCCAACCAGTCCTACCAATAAATGTGATTCCAAAATGGTAGTTTTAAGGTCCCCACCATGGAAATTTGAAAAACACTTCATATGTAAACTCTACTAGAAAGTTCCAGATGCTCTGGGTTACTGCTCAAGATTCATCGAGTCTTTTCCAAACACAGCACAGGGAGACTTCCCACCCCACATTGGACAACCACAGGCAGTTTCAAGCTCCCATCCCCATATGCGGCTCCAGGTAAAGAGTTCAAGGTCTGTTAGAGACACATCAGAAGATTCAATAATCTGTCCTTCAGGGCTTGGTGAACTGGCCATGAAGCCCTAACACTGGTACACAAAGGTAGTTTCAAGCTTCCCAACTCCAGCACCCTGGAAACACCAGGACTTGGAGGTGGGGTATTGGAGCCCCCGATCTTGCTTCTGCTGGGAGTTCTAAGGTCTCCCCCACATTTATGCCCTGGAGAGAATTTCAAGGTCCTTGATGGCTGGTGAAGGAAACCTAAACCTTTCTTGGTGTGGAGGTCCAGGGGCAGTTTCAAGGCCTCCCCAGCCCCTCCCAGTCACTGTAGGACTTTTGTGGGGAGCCCTCCCCCCAGCTTCCAGGGCTTACCACAGTCTGATTGCAGGTGTGCGCCTCATTCTCGGCCTGCAGCAGGCCATCCTGGGCCCGCTTGAGCTGGCTTTGTAGGAGGTGGGTAGTATTGCGACACTCCCTGTCTGCCCGGAGCCCATCCTGACAGGCCTCGCTGGACGCCTTGACCGCGAAGAAGATGAGCGGGATGAGCAGAGCCAGGCAGGCCAGCACGGCCAGCCCCGCTGCCAGTAGCGGCAGTCGGCCCCTCGGGAGTTCCCCCTTCAACAGCTCCTCCATGGAGACAGGCGCACGGTGGTAGAAAACAGGTGCCATCTAGGTTTCTCTTGAGCGCTGAAAGTGCTGGAACCTTCTCCAGCCCACGCCCCTCATTAGCATAAAGGGACTCGGGGGCCTATTGGTTAGAGAAGTCCAGCGGCTCAGGCTTCAAAAGGGCTTCAAAACCCCGCGGCCCGACGTGCCTGCCGGCCACGCCCACTCATTAGCATAGGGCCCTTCCTGGCCAATAGCAAAGCCCACAGAGTCCTAGGCCGCCGCCCCAGAGGAGCGGGAAGGCTGCTTGCAAGCGCCTGGGGCTACAGACGCCTTTCAGTTTCATTTCCCTGGAAAGGGCTCTCCTTAGCCTTGCTCAGCTGCGGTGGAGGAAGGTACAGGTCAGGGGAACGTCCTCCCCCGAAGGAGGGAACTAGGATTGTCCCTGGAATCCTTGACCCTCTGTCGCGGGTTAGCGGCGCCTGGCGGATGTGAGCCTGAGACTCATGTGAAACGTGGCCATCCGTCCAGTCATTATTGGTCTGATTCTTCAGCTGGAGAAACTGAGGCTGCGAGGTTGAGTTGTGGACTGTTGTCCAGGAGGCCAGGGTTTGTGGTCAGGGGTGATAGTGTGAAACTCAGGAAAGCCATAAGCTTCATTAAAGGAGGCCATAAAGGCGTAAAATCATTAGTGGCCAAAAGGCTCTAAATTGTAAAAGCATAAGGTTCCCCAAGTGACCAACCTGCTGTAGTTTGGCAGTTTCGTCTTGTTCACACCTTATCAGTTGGTCACTCCCAGGACTGAAAGAGACTGTGGAGCCCACCTGTCTCTTCTAGAGTCTCATGCCTGCCAAGTCTGAGGAAATAATCGTAAGAAAAAGACCCTCAATCACTCCAAGGACACCAAACCCGGGCACTAATTAAACTCCCCACAAAGTGCAGCTGTGTCTCACAACTTTCTTATAAAAATCCCTGGTTTCTTTGTCTAGTTATAGATGCTTGGTTCCTCAGCAGCCTCCACCTCTCACTGTGTCTTCTTTGACGATATATTCCTTGCCTGTTCCAGGTCTGGCTCTGGTTTCTTGTCTCCTACTCCTCTATCTTTCCTTTTGTTCTCCAAAAATCTAACAAGGGATATCCATGGTTGTTGGGAGCCTGAGGCTCAGCCATTTCTCAAAACTGCTGACAGACCTGAGTTGGTGACTTTCCATTCTGCCCACCATCCTCCCGCAGGCACAGGACAGAGCCCGCAACCTTGGCTCACAGCTGGGAGGCACAGGACAGAGCCCGCGGCCTGGGCTCATGGCCTTGGCCCGTGGCCTTGTTCTCCTTTCAGATTCCTCCCTTAGGGTACATCTGGGCCCCTGTGTTCTGGCTGATACGATTGCTCACTCTTTGCTCCTTTGTTTTCATTCTCTATTTAACCCCATGCTTGTGCTGCAGTAAACGAGACTTGATCAGAACGCTGTATTGTCTCCATTTCTCTTGTCTCTTGCCCCATCCAAATCCCCACTCCCCACTCCAGGTACCCCGCATTGCTGACCCCGCGGGCAGGGGCACATGGTGAGCCTTGAATCCCCATCTACCATGGGAGCTACGCAAGATGTGTGAGGAGATGCAGCTCTGGAGCAGGAGAGAAACTGGGAGACTGGGAGGCCGAATACGGTTCCAGGAAACAAGCAGGCTCTTGACCCTGGTGTAGCAAACTCTCAGAACTGCTGGTCTGTGAATTGGGACGATGGCAGCCCCTACAAATGGCCCTGAGGAGACAGAACTGTTTCTGTATGCAGTAGGCCTTCTATGGATGTGCAGACCAGCTCCCACGGCCAGAGCTGGTGGGGAGAAACTGACACACACAAAACACTAAAAGTGGCCCCAGAGGACTGTTTTGTATTTTGAGCAAAGATGGTGGGTTCTGTGTTCAGGATATGTGGACACAGAGCCAAAGGGGAGCCCAGGTGGTGGCACAGGCCCTGTCATCACAGTACTCAGGAGGTGGAGGCGGGAGGATCAGGAGTTCAAGGCCAACCACTCAGCTATATAGCTTTGTTTAAGGCCACTGGGGGAGAGGCCTTGGAGGGTGGGGAGAAGGGCCCTAGCTTGAGGGGGGAGGCTGTGGTATGTGTTTGGAGAGGTCCTGGTATAGGGGGTTGGGAAGGGTCCCTTTTCTGTCCATAAGGCCAAAGGAACCAGAGTTTAATGGCATGATTCTAGGTGCCTGGTTGGCAGTCCTGGAAGAGGACTGTGTGCTTTTCTAGAAGGTTCTCCAGTCATACCCTGACCATAACCTGATTTTCAGAGTGTGTCATTTCCAAGCGTTTGCTGCAGTGTGCCCCTAAACCAGGGACCCCAGCTCCAGAGAAGAGCTGATGGGGATCCCCAGTTCCTGGCCCCCCTCAGCCTGGAAACCACCAAGGTAAGCAGTGGGGGTGACTCTGTCACACAGTCCCAAGGGGACATGGGTGCCAGCAAGGAGGTGTGGGCCTCAGAGGCCTGACTAGAGCTGACTTATGGGAGTGACTGTCCATCCTTCAAATCTTGCAGGTGTAAAGCAAACATTGGAGCCCAGCAGCTGGCTGTGTGGTGGGTCCCAGCCTGCTGTGGCCTTGTGACATACAACAAGCTTGGTGTTTGCTTTTCCTAGCATGCACTTTCTAAAGACATTAGGGTCTCGGAAGTGACCGCCTGTTGATGGGGACTCTCACAGGGTGACACGGCCCTGGTGGCTACGGAATTAATTACGTTTCAGCCTCATGCCCTGTCCCCAGGGAAATGAGAGGGCTTGGGATACAGCAGTCCCTGTGGGATTGTTAAAAATGGGTCTGAGGGCTGGAGAGATGGCTCAGTGGTTAAGAACACTGACTGCTCTTGAAGAGGACCCGGGTTCGATTCCCAGCACCCACACAATGCTTAGCAACCATTTGTAGTTCCAGTTCCAGGAGATCTGATGCCTTCTTCTGACCTCTGTAGGCATTGCATGAGACAAGTTCACTTACACACATGCAGGCAATACACTAGTACACATAAAATAAAAATGATAATTTTTTTTTAAATGGGTCTGCCAGGCATGGCAGCGCACACCTGTAGTCCCAGCTCTTGGGAGGCAGGGGCAGGTGGATCTCTGTGAGTTCAAGGCCAGCCTGGTCTACATAACAAGTTCCAGGCCAGCTGGAGGTACTAGGAGACCCTGTCTCAAAAAGACTAATATAAAATAAAAAATAAATAAATGGGTCTGATGCTGGCCATGGTGGCCCTTGCCTTTAATCCCAGCACTAGGGAGGCAGAAGCAGGCAGAGCTCTGTGAGTTCGAGGCTAGCCTGGTCTACATAATGAGTTCCAGGCCAGTTGGGGTTACAGAGGGACCCTGTCTCAAAAATACCAAAAAAAGAAAAAAAAAAGAAGGAAAATGGGTCTGAGGTCCCATAGTCCAAAGAATTTCAGCAAGGCAAAAAGTTTTACCTCTGTAGACACGTTTCAAGTCACTTTGAATCCAGCAAGCATACCTTGTTAAAGATGGCCTCTCCCGTTTTACAGGATGCCACAGAGACTTGGTTGGCCCTCATTAGTCAAGGTTTAGCTGCACAATCTAAACCTGATTGGCTAACTTAAAGGGGAAAGGGGCATTCTAGTGAGAATCTTTCAAATGTAGGGACACGGCGTTCCAGCAGATAGCCAGAGTCATAAAAGTAAGGGGAGGTGTTGATATACTACACAAGTTACAATTGACATGTTCAGAAACAAACAGGGCCTGGTGGTGGTGCACACCTTTCCCAGCTCTGGGAAGGTAGAGGCAGGTATATCTCTGTGAGCTTGAGGTCAGCCTGGTCTACATAGTTCCAGGCCAGCTGGGGCTACAGGGAAACTGTCTCAACAGAAAATATATAGTTTTGAATGTTTTTTCAAAAGATTTATTTTTATATGTATGAGTATTTTGCCTGCATGTATGTGCACCACATGTATGCAATGCCAGAAGAGACTAGAAGAAAGAGGGTGTCAGATTCCCTGGAACTGGACTTAGGGATAGTTATTAGCTGCCATGTGAGTGCTGGGAACTGAACTCAGGTCCTCTGCAAGAGCAGCCAGTGCTCTTAAGCGCTGATCCATCTCTCCAGCCCCTTTAAAATGTTTTTAACAGGGGCTGGAGAGATGGCTCAGTGGTTAAGAACACTGGCTGTTCTTGCAGAAGACCCGGGTTCGAATCCCGGGGTCCATAACTCCAGTTCCAGTGGATCTGACAGCCTCTTCTGTCCTGAGGGCATTGCACTTACCTACATGCAGGCAATACACACATACACATAAATTAAAAATAATAAATATTTTTAATGTTTTTAAGAGACAGAATTTCATTTCTTGCCTTTACATTTTTGCTTTTATATTTGCATTTATATTTTTGTTTGCCAACACCTACTTGACAAACAAACCCCAAAATGGTGCAGGTGATGAGCAAAAGGCTATGACAGCAGGTGTAATTTGGAATACACACCTTAACCTTAGTGCTTGAGTCCAGGACTCAGCCTCTGAGAATCCCACAGGCCCCTACTGGGAAGAGCAAACTTGAGATAAAGAAAATGCAGACTGCAGTTGATTCTTGAAGCCTCTTAACTCACACTGTAAAGATCAAACCTCCTTTGAAGAAAGAAAAGATGGTACATTTGTTTGTTTCTATCCCATGCCACTTGCTCCCCTTTCCTTCCAGCTCTCTGAGTAGCCCAGGCTGGTATGGAACTTGCTACAAAGGCTGGGACAACAGGCATGCACCACCATGCCTGGCTGGAAAGCACTGTTTCTATGGGGGTGTTGTGGTGGAAAAAACGGGGGAATACAGATGAAGATGGGGAGCCCTGAGTGATATGAGGGGGATTACAGACCGGATAGTGCTTGCTGAAGGACTCTCTGTAGGGGTGAGTCAGCACCAGCATGTGGACAGGCTGCTGGCTCTTTTCTTGTAACTCCAGTTTACAAGGGCATCTTTCCTGAGTAGGTCTGGATTTATTTATTTCATTTATTTATTTGAGACAAGGTCTCACTGTATAGCTCTGGCTGGCCTGGAACTTGCTATGTAGACCAGGCTGGCCTCAAACTCACAGAGATCTGCTTACTTCTGCCTCTCAAGTGCTGGGATTAAAGGCTGTGCCACCACACCTAGTATAGGTTTGGATTTTAAGCAGACAGCCAGGCACGTTGA